ACTGTCAACTTTCAACTGGTATCATGTGAATTGATTTTTCCTTAATTTTTGGTGAATAGTAATTGACAGGAGAATAGACAAGAAGAAGAACACGATATTTTTTTATCGGAATTCCAGATAGATATTATTATTCCTGACTTTGTTTTATGGGTGTCGCTTGAAGTGAGATATCGAGTAGGCCCGGTTTTTCATTTGTGTGACGAGACGTGACGTTTGTTGATAATCCGACCTGATAGGTAAGTACTAGGCTAGTACTAGGTAGGTACCAACTGATGAAATTACAACATGAGGATTCATGTGCCCATATTATGATGATTTATCAAATTAGTTATGCCATCACGCATGAACTTAGCTTCATTTTTTGTTATTGATACACTTCTGCAAGTGATATAAGGATATGCATTTGCTATTCATTCAAAATTCCTAATGTTCATCATCGTGAAGGTTTTACTGCAACGTATTGTTGGGTCTGGGAACATTCTATGGTATTAAACATTTTCGTCTTGTTCAGCATTTGGAATATGATAAGTGGCACCTAGAGTGTAAGAATATTTCGATTTCCAGTGTTCACCTATCAACAAACGTCATGTTACATAAAATAAAAACAGGGCCCACTTTATGATAAATTTATAACATAGAGTCACTAGTAATCATATCTATCTAGAAGTTCGGTCAAAAACGAACATGTCAAATCATTAAAGAATCAGTACTAATCTCTTCTGTCAATTTTTATACAATAAAAATGTACAAAAAATCAATTCACACGAATCCAGTTAAAAGTTGAGAGTTATCAGCCAGGTCGAAATTGAAAATTCATTCGAACGTTTTTGTTCCATATTTTCATGTTGAACCGGTCAAAGTGTGCCGTGTAAATTGGAGAGCAGTTCTCATAGCATTTTGTCTGATATTTCTGAATCTGATGGAATTTTTTGAGAAAAGTGGTCACAAAGTGAACTTTTTTGACATAACAATGAAATATAAAATTTTACCAAGTCCGGACCTGGATATTTTTTTCTTAATATGTTATCTTGAATAGTTTCAGTAGAGGTACGTTGCTGCAAAATTTCAGCAGATTACGACTAATAAATTCTGTAATATCGACCATCAAAGTTATATAGCAATTTCACATAATACCCTGTATCTTCGTTATGGAGGGTTAAAAAATGTTTTCATATATATACATCAACTCGTCTTGATTTCCCCTATTAACCATTTGGCTATGTGAGTCTCCTCATGAAACACCCTGTATAGTTTCATAGCACTTTACTAGTGCCCCTTCGTATGCCTAGAGTTGTTTAACTCAAAGGCAGGATCGCCATGTAAGGTCGGGAATATCAAAACACCCTGAGGACCTTCTATGATCAAGTTTCTTTATTAAATACAAAATCATTTTGTCTGGTGCACATCGCACCGATATTATTGTAACCCAAAAAACCTGCTTACGTTTTCTAAACCGACGTATAGGTACCAGAATATAATTTCCAGATAAAACATATAACAAACATATTATAACAACTGAATCATCTTCATAATTAGGTTGGTGTAAAAGTGATAGCGATGATGAAATGTTTTCATAATTTTTTATATGAACGGTTTGATGAACTCAAGCTGTTACAGCACAATTCTACATCACCTAATTTGTTGTAGAATTTTTCAATGGGTGGAAGTTGAGTATCTTTCAATTTATCAACATTATCTTAATAATCATAGGGAAATACTCCTTCTCTAGTCAATAGTTTGAATGTTTCATCATCCAACTCTTTGAACTCTTGCTTCAAATTTTGAAGATTATCCATACATAAGGTGGATACGAGTTCATCAAGACCCGCACCCATGAATCTCAAAAGAAACGATAAATCTCAATTTCAGCTTACTATCATTGTCATTAAGAGTGAAGAAATGTATTTTTCCTCATTCAATGGATGCACACTCAGAGAGCCTCGTTTGGCCATATCTTTGATAATAAAGTGTGTATCATAATTTCACATATTATGACATATAACTGGTACAACAAACCATTTTTTGAAGATTAAATTACATTTCTGATGCGCAAATCCCCTAAACATGTCAAAAAAATGATCGTGATCTCTTACAATTACGTCATCTGATTTGAATATTTTTTCTCAAACATGACAAGTTCTAGGATTTGCATTGTTATTTGGTTTTTCTATTATTGGTACAACATCAAGTATTTTGTTCTCAACGAACTTCGCAATTTGCTTCATCTCTCTTGAGAAACATTCCATACAATTTTCGCCCCCTAAACTATCGAAACAAGAAATGGAATAATCATAACACTTTAGGTAATAACTCACCGAAAATGCCTCGTGTAGTTGGTATTTCGTTGTTGTTTGTGATAATCTTAAATACACGGTTCTAAAATGTATTCAATATCAACATAAGTTACAAAAAAAAACTTTCTACTTGTAAACATAATTCCGAAATTCTATGAAGTCATACTTTGGACTTTGGACTATTCTACAATCGTTCTTTTTACACAATACATAATGATTTTTAATTTTTCCTCGCTATGGAAATAGTTTGAGCAGCGATCACATAAATGAATTTTTTGTTTCATTTTGCTTACTTGCATCGATATCAGACGTGACATATTTTTTCAATAGTGAAACCTTATTTCAGATTAATCATCGTCATCTGGCATTGGTGCAGTATAATCATTCAGTTTGGGAAAATAATGGTTTTGAATTAATAGCAAAATGACATGACGTTCTAATTTACTTCTTCTAAGTAAGTCTTACGGGCACTACTACATAAAATGAACCATTGGTGGAGAGATTCAATTCTAACGCATAAACGTTTACATATATATTATTTAATTTCTCAAATTTATTGATATGATTCAGTTTCATGTGTACTTCTAAACCCTCAGTATCCAATACAAATCTGTAATGTGGATACGAAGTTTGTAAGAAGGATGGACTCTGATGAAGATACTCTATCCTCGAAATAAACTGATTGAATTACACCTGTCTTAGGTCCACCTTCTTAATAATATTCATTTCCTTCATCTACTGATTTTCTTTGCCGAACGAGACAGGTTAGGCAAGTAAGGTTCAATAAGAATACGCTCGGGTTGGCTCGTAAACATTATCCAAAAAATTCCACTTACCTTTCGAATCTCAGAAAGGGTGACAGCTCTCTGGGCTCAGCTATCGCTTCTGCGGGCTATCGATTACCTCGAACCGTCACACGTATAAACACTTATCTGGTAACTCTTTGCCTTTATTATATTATATTATCAACTTTTAACTTATATCAGAAGAACTTCTATTAAATTTACTTTATTGTTCACTTCTGGAAGAGAAGTGAACAAGAGATAATTATGATGATTACAGCTATGATGATTACAGCTATCCTGAGTGAGTTGAAATCGATCAAACTATTTATCTTAACCAGTCATAAGGAAGTTAATGGTTTAAAAATGTATTTCACTTTAAAATTTAAATGTTCTAAGCAGTACGGAAGTTACTAACCTTGTTGAGTCCAGACTCTGAAAACTCAATGAATTTACAAGATTCCAATGAATACCAGAAGGGGAAACTTTATCAATATCAGTAAAGATACTATCTTGAGAGATTTACCAGACACAGAATTCACGCACCAGAACACGAGGCAAGCAGGATGAAATTCAAAATTGAACTCCCTCTAAGATTTTTTCTAAAATCCCTATCTGACTCTAATTTCGTCTGTTCATTCCCGTTATGGGTGGAAACTTGACTTGGTTGGATGGTATCAACCAATCGTAGTAGATTTTTCTCTCCAGGGGTGTATACTATTCCTTCCTTCTCTTTTGACCAGCTTCAGATACTTAACATACAAATAATTTTATGTTTTCGCAACATGTGGGGACTTCTTCGAAATTCCTAAGTACCCTCTGCAGATATTCACAAAATAAAAATAAACTATATATGTTTCTCGAGAGTCCTTACTTTTGACGTGTTCATTATGCTACATAAATTGCCCTACTCAAAAGATAAACTCTCGAGTTTCCTAGCCAAAACTAATACCATCTCCTTGAAATAATAAATGTCAACTAATTGATGAGCATGCAAAAGATCGCTCCTCTTAACATTATATTCACGACGTGTGGTTTCTATTCACATCTATAGGGAAAAAGGAAGTATCTCCAATAAAAAACCCTATACCCACACGACTGTTATACTTAAACTAACAATACCTACTTGACATTTCCTGGAGTACCCCATTCAATAAGACTTATTGATGCAGAGAGTGAAACTTTTACGATAATTTTGGAATAGGAGCTGAACCTCGGGTGGTCGAGAATTATTATGGTCAATAGGACACTATTAGCAGTTTATGGTAGCTATATATTTCGAAATAGAAAAAATTTGGCATGAATTGAGTGTGGCCCTAGTTAAATTTAATGACTCTCGATTTCACTTTCTGATCGATTTCTTCAAAATGAATTCTCAGTAATTTGGAATGGAAAAGACACAACTAATTTCATTTAATCACTAAAGCCCAATGGAAATCTATATTAAATTATGAATTGAATAATAAGCATTCTTACATTTCTTCCCCCTTTAAGAGTAACAATTTTTCATTTGTCTTGAACTTCAAGTTGGGTAATAAATGGTTACTCCAGAATAGTTATATATACATATCTAACTAACCTACTTTCCGATTTCCTGGAACAGTCTTCGTCTTCTTCTCCGTTGTGGGTCGTGGTCCTTGTCTTCGTCTCCGTAGTAACTTCGTTCTCATTGCTTTTCCAAACAATTGGGATTGTCGCAAGGTATGTAGGGAGGGTAGGATAGGTGACCTTAGCGACAGGTGCGCTCGGGGTGATTCGCGTTTCACTCGCGGAATGCCGAGATGCATCAGTGTCATTTATTCGAACTTCCTGAAGTTCGCTATTATTTAGGGCGTTGTGCTCTACCGGATCACTATTACTATGGAGGCTATTAATATACCGGTGGGCTAAAGCTTGGAAAAAGCTAGCCCACAAATATCGTTTCCTACGCGGATGGTCCTTGGCTACTTTCTTGATGGTGAAATAGTTCGTTATCACACCCGTAATATAGCTCACGACACAGAATGTGGTATACAGAAAACCGCATATCGAGAAAATGTTCCCCATTCTTGATAGGAAACCCCACACTTCTTCCGCTGCAGATTTTGCAAAGTCCTTAAATTCCGATTCACTGAAGAGTTTAGGCATATCATAATTGTCCGTACCTATACCTCTTCCTGTTACGCGACGCGCGACTTCGTTCGTGACGGCTTTCCTTTCGTTCGGGAACATGAGCGTGCGTTGAAACTTTTCCATATCTTCCCGGGTATAGATACCATCCGACGTGATAGGTGATATACTGGCCAACTTCACGATTTCGTCCTTGGTGTTAGCATCCAGTTCGATAGCTGGATCGGCTTTCCTCAATGCAGGTGTCAATTCCACCCATTTACCCTCGATTCTGAAACTAGGAGGCAACAGTGGCTGACAATCTATTTCAGTACCATGTTCTGTCAGGATGTGGGTCATTGGTAATCGGAATAGAGACCTGTTCTGATACGTTACAGGTAATTCTTGGTAAAAAGCCGTGGCTCTCCTGTACTCGACAATTATTGGCTTACATTTCACGATATAGAGTACTTCGCCCATGACTCGTCCAATATAACCTGTAGTTTCTTTCACAAGGTTACCCACGAGATCAGGTGATTGTAAGGCCATAGTGATCCGGTTTTGTAGAATCTTCTCTCTTAATTGACACCTTTTCATGATGACGTCGTAGACAACATCAGCCATTTGTCTTTTGACAGCAATTTCCAGATAAAGCAATTTGCTGGGTACATGCATCATCATATCTGTATTTGGAGGTAGTCTGAGTGATTTTCGGTAGAAAAATCCTAAAGAATCTTCCAAAGTTACTAACAAACGATTTTGTTCGGTCTGCCAAGCTCGTTGATGACATAGATCCTCTGACTTGATTAATTTCAGAGCGAAAACGGTATCTTCGGTATCCACGATTACGTAAAATGTTGGTGGATCCTTGCTAAGTGTGAGTAATGTTGCATTTCCTTCATAAAGCACATCAACTCCACTGTTTGTGCACTGATCAGCGATTTTCGCTTTCCATATCGCCTCTCCGGAGAAGTCATCAAAACAGGATCCATCATTATAAGGACATATGGTTCCCGAACGAAGATTCACGACATTACGTTCGACATCCGCGGTAGTGAAATAATCGGACATCTTGATTGTTATCGCGGCCGACACGACGACGTTCTCGTACGAGATATGTCCGACGGTGAATTTGATACCTTCGCATTTTCCGCTTATGTCGAGGTGTCCTTGGAGGGTTGTTGATACTTCAGTGGTCCCGTTGAGGCTGATCTTGCTGATGTTGCCGCCGCCTATTACTCGAAGATCCAAGTGCCGGAACTGATGAGCCTTGAGACACGTCTCGGTAGAGACGTAGTGGACGTACTTTCCTAGGCCTTCTGCGACGCTGCTGCTATGGGAGTGCATTCCGCAGTACTGGATGAACTGCTGCACCACGACGAGGAAAGTGTAGACCTGGACTCCCACGTATTGTCGCTTCTGGATGAGCTGGATCTTCCTTCTCGTAGTCTCCGTGGCATTCCTTGGGTCGAGGCATGGCTTCACTCTCAGCAAGGACAGTTTAGTCAGCTCCACTGACTCGTCCTGGCAATCATAGGCAATGATGTCCCCTTGTGTAAGGCTCAACAGCCCAACGAACACTAGACACAAAACTAGCAACATATTCTGAAACATATCAAATTGTAATTTTCCACTATCTACTCTGAAAAAAAAAAATTGTCAATGAGCTATTATACATGAGTGGAATTTTTATTTTATTCTATTTTTACTTATCCACGGATAATCTTGTGCCGGTCCTTGACTTCTCGTTTGTCTTTGATTGTTCTCGTTACTCATTTCTGGTACTTCTGCTGTAGAATTTTTTATTTCTGTTTCCATTTCACCTTCATTTCCTATACTATTTTTGAGTCTACTTTCTTATTTGGCGGATTCAGATGACAAGGAGTGAAATTCTTTTATTTCAGGATTTTCTATTATGTTTTATTCATTTTCACTCGATATATTTTCATTTTCCGTTTCATTTTCCGTTTCACTTGTCGTTTCATCACTATTTTCTTCTTCTTCCTCAACTTCTGCTTCTTCTTCTACTTCGGCATGATTTTCTTCATTTTCTGACTCGTTTTCTGTAGTTTCCAGGGACGGCGTATTATTGATTAGCGGGTTTGGTGTCCCATTTTCCACTTGTCGATTATTTCTTCGCGTATAGCCTCCCATCATAAGGTGATCCGTGGTATTTTTATGCTTTATAAAAAGGTGCGCTGTTACCTATATCATTGGTGTGCTGTATCAATTTTGTAGCTCTTAATGGTTCATTTTCCTCGGCGAATATATCTCTATATGTACTCAAAAACTCCTTCATTTTCTTTTTATCAGCAATTGGTAAATGTTTCAGAGTTTTTCTCGTAGGTCTTACTCATGCCTTTATACAACCGTCGTACTTCCATACTCGAAGTTTCCGAATCATCTTTCTCCGCTGTCGCGTCTGTTAACCTCAAAATCGGACACTTCTCCCCTATGGTCTGTGCGACAGGAGAAGTATTAAGAATCCGTACCGCAATTTCCTTTTTCTTATGGGGAGAGTTTGGTGGTATAGTAACCACAGATCGAGCGACACATATTCCAGGGGTGAGGGGGTAGTGGTTCACAAACTTTTATGCCTCCGTAGACACGCGTTTCTACTTGGACACGCAAGTCGCAACCTTGAAAAGCCGGTATTACCAATTTTTTCCTCATCCTTACTAGGCTAGGATTTTTTAAAAATTATTATCCCACCCGGTTGCTTCAACTTGGTTCAAGCTTCCTTGGTCATAAGGAGGGGTGACTATTGCTGATTCCTGTTTATTGAAAGAACTGTGGTAGGAAACCTCCTTATTATCAGTATACAAACTCTTGGCGGCGGCCGTAGGAATCTTCAACGAGGCAGGTACCTCTTCCAGAGGACACAAGTTGACAGAGTAGTGACATTGACTCCCTCTGTCAAAGAGGTGCGGGCTGGCATTACTATTCAACAAACCCTCATTTGAATTCTTCATCTGGGTCTTATTCTGCCCTTTATTGATTTCAGAATCAATTTTCTTGCGAGTCTTATTCTGCTCGTCTTTATAACCCTCTCTTTCGGGGTGATTCAAATTTTTACCTCCGAACATCATAGTGTTACCTTCATTCTCTGGAACCCCATCTTGTTCCATAGCACTGAAGATTTTTCTGGAAATTCTTGTAATTCGGACGGCTGATATATATTTTTTTAATTCCTTCATTTTCACCATGCATTGGAATTTCGAATCCTTTTATCTTCATTTCACTCCGACTGAAATCCATGATAGGTTGAAACTTATTCAAAAAGTCTAAACCTATCAATCCATCTGTAGTGAATTTCAATTAGTCTTTACACACAACAAATTCGTGTGTTATACACTCCCGAGGAAACTGAAATTTTATTTTTTACTGAACCCTTTTTATTGAGGACCTATATATTCCTTAATTCTCATAGTCAACCTTTCTATACCTGTCGGAATAATAACGAATTTTATATACCTACAAGAAAACCCTTATTCAATCAAAGCAGAATGATCGAATAATTAATATTGAAAATTAAATTGCCCTGTAAGAGATTTATGACCCCACAACAATGATTTACCACAACAAACGAAGCAATAGGCTTACATTTGTAGCCTCTAGACAAACGAAATAGAAAGATTCACTATCTTCTTCATTTGCCTATAGTTCGTTTTAATATACCACAGCCTTTTGGAAATCAGATTCAAAATATTTTTCTGTTTTTTCTTTCATTTATCTATTCATTATCCCTTTTTTTGCTTCGAAGTTTATTTCTTTATGAAATTTATTACTTGACGAAATTCCGTCATATGTCAAATTCCTTAGATAATTATGACTCTAAATTGGAGTTTAATCTGTTTACAGGTCATGATTATTTATTCTTATTATCATAACTCTCCAATTCTTCGTCAATTTCGACTATTCTCATGAAAACTTGATTTACTTTCATCTTAAATAAAAATATAATATCATTATTCAATATCTAATTTAAATCTGAATTCCATTAATTTCGCTCGGCTCACCATTACTAGAAAACACTTGCTCTTTTTTTTTACATGTATGTATATCTTCATTGAACTTGACCTAGATTTCTTGTTCATTCATTATATTATAGACTTGATTAGGAACACTGGAATATGAACACTTCAACAAGAGGGAAAACACAATTTGGAAAATCTTGAAAACACCTTCATGCTCTTGATTTGTTCTACGATAGCATTATCAAATTCCAAAAGAGCAATTGCTTCCACAATAGAATATATCCAAAATCCATCCATCTACTATTTTCCTTACTTCAACTAAAAATTTACCTATATTGGTATCTTTTATGATTAATAATTCTAAACTTATTGGAGTGGGTGAATGAATTTATTCTATTCACGATACACGGTATCGGAGTTCACTTTCAATTTCATCGCTTGTGAATTTTCCTCAGTTTTCCTAGTCAAACTACTTATTTACATCAATGGTCAATCTACATTTCCTTGAGTGAAACAGACTAAATTAAATCTTATTCGCTGAGAAGAATTCATTCTAGCGTTGACCATGTTCACATCAGCCTTACGTATCTTTATCACCTATATTTGTATTTTTAACGACAAAATTTCGAAATTGAAAACACAATTCTGCGTGTTATCAAGAAATTATGTGACAGATACTCTTGAAATAATTGAATTCAATCATATTACGTAATCCGATCAATGTTTCATTCAATTTAATGAAAAACGTCCTTATTTGATCCTGATTGAATTTCAATTTGATCCAACAAAAATTCTGATTTATATTCGGATTGAATTCTATTTTTATCCCAGTAAGATTCTGATTGATCATCCTACCAAAATTCTGATTGTTAATCCTACCGACTGCGCCAATTTGTAAGAAGGGTGGACTCTGATGAAGATACTCTATCCTCGAAATAAACTGATTAAATTACACCTGTCTTAGGTCCACCTTCTCAATGATATTTATTTCCTTCATCTACTGATTTTCTTTGCCGAACGAGACAGGTTAGGCAAGTAAGGTTCAATAAGAATACGCTTGGGTTGGCTCGTAAACATTATTCAAAAAATTCCACTTACCTTTCGAATCTCAGAAAGGGTGACAGCTCTCTGGGCTCAGCTATCGCTTCTGCGGGCTATCGATTACCTCGAACCGTCACACGTATAAACACTTATCTGGTAACTCTTTGCCTTTATTATATTATATTATCAACTTTTAACTTATATCAGAAGAACTTCTATTAAATTTACTTTATTGTTCACTTCTGGAAGAGAAGTGGGTAAGTTCAGCAATAAAAGAATAAATAAAACCTCAACGATCTATTTAATAATTATCAAAATGAACAAATAATGAAAAGACAAGTAAAGAAAATATGACTCGATGAGGAAATGGCTCCGATATAGCAAAGCAAATAAATGCACAAGAGATAATTATGATGATTACAGCTATACTGAGTGAGTTGAAATCGATCAAACTATTTATCTCAACCAGTCATAAGGAAGTTAATGGTTTAAAAATGTATTTCACTTTAAAATTCAAATGTTCTAAGCAGTACGGAAGGTACTAACCTAGTTGAGTCCAGACTCTGAAAACTCAATGAATTTACAAGATTCCAATGAATACCAGAAGGGGAAACTTTATCAATATCAGTAAAAATACAATCTTGAGAGACTTACCAGACACAGAATTCACGCACCAGAACACGAGGCAAGCAGGATGAAATTCAAAATTGAAGTCCCTCTAAGATTCTTCTAAAATCCCTATCTGACTCTAATTTCGTCTGTTCATTCCCGTTATGGGTGGAAACTTGACTTGGTTGGATGGTATCAACCAATCGTGGTAGATTTTTCTCTCCAGGGGTGTATACTATTCCTTCCTTCTCTTTTGACCAGCTTCAGATACTTAACATACAAATAATTTATGTTTTCGCAACATGTGGGGACTTGTTGTTTCTCGAGAGCCCTTACTTTTGACGTGTTTATTATGCTACATAAATTGACCTATTCAAAAGATAAACTCTCGAGTTTCCTAGCCTACACTAATACCATTTCCTTGAAATAATAAATGTCAACTAATTGATGAGCACGCAAAAGATCGCTTCTCTTAAAATTATATTCACGACGTGTGGTTACTATTCACATCTATAGGGAAAAAGGAAGTATCTCCAATAAAAAACCCTATACCCACACGACTGTTATACTTAAACTAACAATACCTACTTCACATATCCTGGAGTACCCCATTCAATAAGACTTATTGATGCAGAACAAAGTACTTCGTATTATCACCAATGGTGATAGATACTCGCGAGTGGCAGATGTCCACGAGAGATGTAGTAATTTGTCGAGAATACAAGAATACATTCTCAAGATATCGAATAAATTCTACAAATACCACATCGCTGGAAGTGACCTTACCCGGAACATCACACGAACACGCCAACATCACAACATACACAAAAAACAT